GTCCCAGCCCCTCGCCTGCTGCAAGTCCCAGCCCCTCGCCTGCTGCAAGTCCCAGCCCCTCGCCTGCTGCAAGTCCCAGCCCCTCGCCTGCTGCAAGTCCCAGCCCCTCGCCTGCTGCAAGTCCCAGCCCCTCGCCTGCTGCAAGTCCCAGCCCCTCGCCTGCTGCAAGTCCCAGCCCCTCGCCTGCTGCAAGTCCCAGCCCCTCGCCTGCTGCAAGTCCCAGCCCCTCGCCTGCTGCAAGTCCCAGCCCCTCGCCTGCTGCAAGTCCCAGCCCCTCGCCTGCTGCAAGTCCCAGCCCCTCGCCTGCTGCAAGTCCCAGCCCCTCGCCTGCTGCAAGTCCCAGCCCCTCGCCTGCTGCAAGTCCCAGCCCCTCGCCTGCTGCAAGTCGAAACCACTTTATCCCTTCCAACCTTTCCTAGGGCAACCCCTACACTGCTTATATTGCTCCATCCTCTCTGAATGTTTAAACCACCTCAGTCCTTGGGATTAATACTTTTAGTAATGCCACACCACCACCTTGTCTCCACGCTATGAATTCTTTGCATAATATTTGCACCACATGTCCTCAGACATCACACCTCCAGCCTCCTTGCTGCAACATTCACAGCCCATATAAATGAGTGTTGGTACCAATATACTCTCCTACATTACCCTCTTTGCCTCTGTGGATAACGTTGTCTCTACAATGCCTCAGTTCTATGGTTCACCTCATCATGGGTCACTAGGGAATTTTTCTTGGAATGGTTTTATGGTGTGTTTGGCCCCACTGAAAAATTACCTCCAGGAAAAGAAATTGTCACTCAAGTGCCTCCTGGTAATGGACAATGCTCCTGCTCATCCTCACGACTTGCAAGAGGAAATTGCAGGGGAGTTTGGTTTCGTTAAGGTGAAGTTTTTGCTTCCTAATACAACTCCTCTCCTCTAGCCCATGGACCAGCAGGTCATTTCAAACTTCAAAAAACTACACAGAAGCAGTGTTTCAAAAGTGCTTTGAAGTGACCTCAGACACTCAACTGACCCTAAGAGAGTTTTGGAAAGATCACTTCAGTATCCTCAGTTGTGTAAACCTTACAGGTAAGGCTTGGGAGGGAGTGACTAAGAGGACCTTGAACTCTGCTTGGAGGAAACTGTGGCCAGCTCTCTGGAACGGATTAATGCCGTTGGTTGAGGGTCCACTATATTGTCCCAGTTTTCGTACATCCGCTCAGTTTTTGTAGAGTTGAAAATGGTCTGTACCAAGCTCGTTTGCCTGCCTGTGTGACTTGGCCACTCATTTCCCTGAATTGAGCGCTCACACTAAGCATCCCATGTGTTCGTGACTCAGTCTGCCTTTGTTTCTCGTTGAGTGAGCATCACCCCACATGTTCATCCGGAACATTCGTAATAATCCATTGTTTTTTGTGCTTGTTTATTAAGTGCGACTGCTAAATAAGCCACCATGGGGCCAAAAAGTTCCGAGTGCCAGCCCTTTGATAAAGAAGGCGAGAAACACTATAGAATTTAAGAAAGAACTCATAGTAGGGTACGAAAGTGGCATACGTGTGGCTGATCTCGCCAGGATGTACAGGAAGTCCGCATCAACGATCAGTTCCATCCTGGTGAAGAGAAATCAAGGAAGCTGATGTTGCGAAAGGGGTAAATGTGCTAACGAAACAGATAACAAACAATCGGAGATGTTGAGAAATTGTTGTTGGTGTGGACCAACCAAAAACAATTAGCAGGAGATGGTGTTTTGGAGGTGATAATTTGCAAAAAGGCAAGGCAGTTGCATGTGGATCTCGCAAAGAAAATGCCTGGAATTAGTGCTTCTGTTAGTGAATTTGGGGCCAGCAGAGGCTGGTTCGACAAATTCAAGAAGCAAACTGGCATAAGCAGTGTGGTAAGGCATGGCAAGGCTGCAAGTTAGGACAAACTTGGGGCCAAAGAATTCATTGATGAATTCAAGGAGTACGTAGAGGCTGAAGGATTCCTCCCCAAAGTCTTCAGTTGTGACAAAACAGGCCTCTTTTGGAAGAAAATGCGAAAGAGGACCTACATCATGCAGGAGGAAAAGGCACTGCCAGGACACAAGCCTATGAAGGATAGCCTAACTCTCTTGTTTTGTGGTAATGCTAGTGGGGATTTCAAAGTGAAGCCTTGAGGGGGGAGTGAGGGATTATATTTTTTTTTTTTTGTTTTCAACCGATTTATTTTATTTTTGGTGTACTTTTAGAGGTGCATATATAGTTTAATGTGACAAAGTTTCAGTATGATTGGCCAACAAACAACATAGAAAAAAAATATTAACATAATTTTGATATATGGCAGCATCCCCTGACAAATTGGCACTACGAGTGGCACTTCCGACATTCCAAACTGTTAGAATACAACTAGCACGAATATTTTACGTTGCCATTTCATCTAATATATCTTATTATCATGGTAAAAAAAAATACATTTGACAGAATTTTTGGCATTCACCAAAATATCTGCCTTTTACCCCCCACAAAATCAAAAATATTTGAGATATTCCAAAAAATCCATCATTAAAAATTAAAACACACTTTGTTTTATATTGTCTGTGAAAATCATTTCAATACAATCATTAATAATGGTTCAGGTCCGCGAAATAAGTGAATAAGTTACTTCCGAGATATAGGCCTAGAACGCCGGTAGGCCTACCGTCAAAAAAAAAAATTTCTTTTTTTGCGAAAATCGCGTTTGTTTCAGTGTGTTTCTTAGTAAACTGATGTTCTAGTGCAGTTATCCTCTTCAAAACATCGTTTTCTCTCACTCACAGACCAAACAATACAACATGGAGACGAGGAGTAACTTTTTTATATCGAAATATTGCTGGTGGACTCTCGCTATATTATGGCCTATTTTATTCAGTCTAGAGTATATAACATGTTTGTTTGTTATTTACAGTGATTATTATATCATATTAGATAAATTCTGATAGATAAATAAGCCGTATAGTTAATATATAAGCTGATATAAGCGTAATAATGAAATGATTTCACCTGGCACTCTCTGGAGAGGGATCACTGCCGAGTGTACCCAGGTGCTTCCCGATAGGCTAGACGTCTATTGATAAGCTCCACCTACTCTTATATGATGCCAAATAATCAATTATTATATTAGAAAGAATAATACAAAGAAAAAGCGATAAAAAACAAGGAAAAAATTCCAAAAAATACATAGGTTGAGAACAGACGCGCTACCTACATCGCCGCCACCATACCTGATATAAATGACTATAATTTCTTGTAGAAACGTTGTAGAACATTGATTCTTGTACCATTGTGTTGCCAAAGAGTTAAGCTATTTTTCTATATGAATAACTCATTTTCATAAATTTTCGAATTTTTCTTGAGAGCGCTGAAAAAAATCCCTCACTCCCCCCTTGACTGGTGTATCACTCTGAAAATCCCCGAGTGTTCAAGAAAAACAATGTCATCAAGAGTAAATTGTGTGTGATGTGGAAGGCTAACAATAAGGATGGGTCACAGGGCAAATTTTCATTGAGTGGATCAATGAAGTGTTTGGCCCGAGTAAGAAGAAATCCCTCCTGGAAAATCAGTTGCTACTCGAGTGCCTCCTGGTAATGCACAATGCTCTTGCTCATCCTCCAGGCTTAGAAGACCAATTGTTGGAGGAGTTTAGTTTCATCACAGTGAAGTTTTTGCCCCCTAATACCATTCCTCTCATCCGGCCCATGGACCAGCAGGTAATTTCAAACTTCAAAAAACTACATCAAAGCACTGTTTCAAAGGTGCTTTGAAGTGCCCTCAGACACTGAATTGACCCTAAGAGAGTTCTGGAGGAATCCCTTCAATATCCTCATTTGCATAAGCCTTATAGATAAGGCTTGGCAGGGAGTGATTTCCAGGACGATGAACTCTGGTTGGAGAAAATTGTGGCCAGAATGTGTCCTTGAGAAGGATTTTGAAGGGTTTGAGGCTGACCCTGACAACCCTAAGCCTGTTGTGGAATCTATTGTCTTTGGGGAAGTCCATGGGGTTGGATGTGAGTGACCAGGATGTGGAAGAGTTGGTGGACGACCACAGGGAAGAGTTAACCACAAAAGAACTGCGACACATTCAACTGGAACAGCAACAGACTGCAGCTGAGACGGAGGAGGAGGAGGAGGAATAGAGAGGGGAGAATGTGCCTTCTTCGGTGATTAAGGACATAGTGTGCAAAGTGGAATGAATTGCAAATTTTTGTGGAGAATTATCAGTCTCCAACATGTTCAATGACAATACCGTGTCCCATTTTAGGCAAATCTTAAGAGACGCCAGAAACAGACCTCTCTGGACAGATTTTTTGTGCAACAGGAGTCTAGTGACTCAAGCTGGTCCTAGTGCCAGTAAAAGACAAAGAAGGGAAGTAATCCCGGATAAGGCCTTAATACCTGAATTCCTTATGGATGGGGATTTCCCTTCCAAACAATAACCTCTCCTCGTCCCTCTCCCCTCTTCGTCATCTTCCATACACCAACAAGAGTCTTCAATAAAGGTAAAAGTGATGTTAAATGTTCATTTATCCTTTTCATTAGTCATTTATATTTATTTTTCATTGTTTTCTGTATGTAAAACTATAGTTATTCTCTATAAAATGTATTTTTTGTTAATATTTTTGGGTGGCTGGAACCGATTAATTGGATTTACATTATTTCTTATGGGAAATATTGCTTCGGTTTTTGTCAGACATTTTCAAACGGATTAATCACAAAAACCGAGGTGCCACTCTATTATTAGTGTTATTAAAGAGAGAAAGCTTGCATTGTGTTGGAAGCTAAACAATAACCTATCCTGCCGTATAAATGGGGCCCTACTGTATTTAGCATGACTTGGCAATAGAGATTTATCCAGTTAAAGGTATCCATTATTTTTTATATTTCATAATAGGTGAGAATGGAGTTACGGTAATAGCTTATAATAAGCTGAATACTTCTTAAAATGTTGAGTATTTATACTAAGTTTGAGATTAAGGCTTTTTTGTATTGTTCCTTCAAGATGTACGATTGCTGGCAGAGCAGGCCCCTGGGCTGGTAGAATTGGATGTAAGTGATGGAACTCAATTAACTGCTTCTGCTGTCTCAATCATCATCAGTGAATTGCGTCATGTTGAATACTTGGCATTTTCCAGATGCTACACTATACATCCAGATGCTTACCTGTAAGTATTAAGTATAAATTTTCTATTCTTTCCTTTTAAATTACATACAACTCTTACTGTAGTCAAGTGTAGCTTGATTTCTGCTTGTATTTCATGCATAACCATCAGGAAAAGTTCAGTTAATTATAAATTTTGAGGTTTTGCAGATACAACTTGTAAAGTTTCCTAACAAGGATTTTTAGTGCTCTATCAAAAGTCTAATAGCTTAGTTTTCTGTATTTCTAGAGATTATATAGAGCCCCACTCAAGGAAGTTAAGGGGGGGGAGGAACGCTCTGCAAGACTATCTCTGAAAAAAATCGAAAAATTTAAAAAAAAAAAAGTTTTCTTACCAAAAAATAGTGCATAATTCTGGCATCATTTTGATGTAATCAGCTTGTTTCTAGCACATTTCTAAGTACAGTGGACCCCCGGTTCACGAAGCCATCAGTATCCGATAAATCCGGTATCTGAAGCATTATATCGCAAAAAATTTGCCTCAGTTCCCGTTACAAAACCTAGTATGCGATACGATTCGTATGAGACGTGTCCACATGTGGCCTGAACTGCCCCGTGTGTGCCAGTGTTTACAAGCCAGCCAGTGTGCGCGCATCTAAGGATACATTCGGTACATTCCATATTATCAATGTTTTTGGTGCTTGTTTCTGCAAAATAAGTCACCATGGGCCCCAAGAAAGCTTCTAGTGCCAACCTATCAAGACCAAGGGTGCTAATAACTATTGAAATTAAGGAAATGTGTGCAAAGTGGCTTGAAGTGCAAACCTTTTTTGATGAAAATCACCCTGACACAGCTACTGCAAGCTGTGTTGGCAACCTGTACACTGACAATGTTGTGAACCACTTTAGGAAAGTCATAAAGGAACGAGAGGTACAGGCCTCTATGGACAGATATGTTGTGCAACAGAAGTCCAGTGACTCTCAAGCTGGTCCCAGTGGCATTAATAGAAGGTAAGTAACCCCGGAAAAGGACTTGCTACCTCAAGTCCTAATGGAGGGGGATTCCCCTTCTAAACATTAAAAACTTCGATACACTTCCCTCCTCCCATCCCATCAATCATCACCAGATCTTCATTAAAGTAAGTGTCAATTATTCTATTGTTATTATTGTTACTGTAATTATTATATTGCATTAAACTTAATATTTCATGTGGTAAAATATTTTTTTTTTCATACTTTTGGGTGTCTTGCACGGATTAATTTGATTTCCATTATTTCTTATGGGGAAAATTGATTCGTGTTCCGATAATTTTGGTTTACGATGAGCTCTCAGGAACGGATTAATATCGTGAACCGGAGGTCCACTGTATCTTTTTAAATTTTTTTTTTTTTCTACTCCAGAAATTATGATTTTTATGTGACTTATGAGTCGCCGATCAGAGAGGAGCTATGATGGTCAGTGAAAGGTGGCAATGCAGCTACCCTAGAGTTTCATGCAAACTATATACATGTATGTGAATAACTCAGGAATAAGTTATTGATTTTATTTTCCTTTTTTTGCAAAGAGTTATTGAGGAATGATTGTTCTGTAATCCTAGAGAGGGGATTTGTGATATGTATTACCATTTTGTTTATTGATTTTTTCCTTAAAAAAAAAATTCAACATTTTGTATAATGCAATCTATTGACATTTCGCTCATTTCCCTCTAAACTATTATTATCTAGCTCTTTATCTTTCGTCTGATGTCAACTAGAACATTGTACATCTTACCAAATTTGTTGAAAAAGGATTCTTGTAAGACCTATAAAATATAACAATTTTTTTTTTTTTTCTATCTAACTATAAGGAAAAAAGTGAAAAGAAACATGGTGTGTAGGTTTCAAATGCTGCTTAATTTTCATTAAAATTAGAAAGAAAGAAAAAAATAGGCAAAATCGTCCCCCCCCTCCCTTTAAGCCCCTGTTAGATGAGACAGTGAAGTTACATCTACTTGAAGATAACTCTTGCAATGGAAATAGTGTAGCAGTCCTCTCAGTGATAGCAAATGGAAGCTATTTATGTATGTGATTGTGTGACTTTTAAAATTACGGATTTAAGTTGGATGTAATGCTTGAAGATGATTAAACACGAATCATTCCTCATGCTCTCACAAAGGGGTATTCAAAGATTGAGGTAGATAGTGATAACCTAGAGCAGGACTGTCTAACCTTGATTAGCTTGTGCACCCCCAAACCAAATTTATCCCAACCCAAATATCCCCAATCTCAAAATTTTTAATAGGAAAAAAGTGAATACATCCAAAATATGTTGAATTCACATTGTAATTTGTTGAGCCAAAACTAATGATGATAAAAAATATGTACTGTATATTCAAAAGTACACAAAAATAAATTCTCCATTTGGCTGAAGTTTACAAAACACGTGAGTTATTTAGTCCTAGCAGAACAAAGTAGAGTTTAGTGAGATTTCTGGTTTTTCATTTTACTCATGAGCATTTTGTAGCAAGGTCTCGCTTTCCGAGTGACCAGATGCTCGCTTTGCCTGAACATGAGTTTGGCTGATTATCTGTTGTCCTTGATTCATAATACACCTACCATCCGACTTACGACCTTCTCGACTTACGACGACTCGACTTACGACCGTGTTTTTATGCCAAATTTCTGGGAAATAAACAAGTGTTTGTGTTGTACACAGTGTTTATCCTAAACCTTACAGTATAAAATACAGTACTAACTGCATAAAAAGTAATGTAAAACATGAAATACCAAATAAAACAATAAAATAGTCATTACAAAAACTGTTATTTTGATATTCAGTAGTGAAGTTCGACTTATGACCGGTTTCTCGGAACCGAACTCAGTTGTAAGTCGGATGGTAGGTGTATACATATTCCATAATTTATAGATATGTAATTATTAAGTACAGTGGGCCCCCGACATTCGATGTTAATCCGTTCCTGAGAGCTCATCGAATGTCAAAAATATCGAAAGTCGAATTAATTTTCCCCATAAGAAATAATGGAAATCAAATTAATCCGTGCAAGACACCCAAAAGTATGAAAAAAAAAATTTTACCACGTGAAATATTAAGTTTAATGCAATAGAATAATTACAATAACAACAATAACAATTATTTTTATTTTTATATAGCCGGACTTGAGTCCTGGAAATGGGAAGTACAATGCTTGCACTCTAAAGGAAGGGTTTCGGGATATTAGCAGTTTGGAGGGATATGTTGTGTATCTTTATACGTATATGCTTCTAAACTGTTGTGTTCTGAGCACCTCTGCAAAAACAGTGATTATGTGTGAGTGAGGTGAAAGTGTTGAATGATGATGAAAGTATTTTCTTTTTGGGGATTTTTTCTTTTTTGGGTCACCCTGCCTCAGTGGGAGACGGCCGACTTGTTGAAAAAAAACAATAACAATAGAATAATTGACACTTACCTTTAATGAAGATCTGGTGATGATTGATGGCAGCCTCACCATGCCTTACCATACTGTGTATGCCACTACGATTCTTAAATCTTTCAAACCAACCTTTGCTGGCCTTAAATTCACTCACATCACCACTAGTTGCAGGCAGTTTCTTTACCAAATCATCATGCAACTGCCTAGCCTTTTCACAAATGATCGCTTGAGAGATGCTATCTCCTGCTATCTGCTTTTCATTTATCCACACCAATAACAGTCTCTCAACATCTTCTAACACCAGCGATCTCTGTTTCGAAAACAAAGTTGCACCTTTTGCAACAACAACTTCCTTGATTGCCGTTTTCCTGCTCACTATAGTAGAGATGGTTGATTGGGGTTTATTATACAACCTGGCCAGCTCCGACACATGCACTCCACTTTCGTACTTTGCAGTTATCTCTTTCTTCATTTGAATAGTTATTAGCACCTTTTTTCTCGAAGGGTTGGCACTAGAAGCTTTCTTGGGGCCCATGGTTACTTATTTTGCAGAAACAAGCACCAAAAACAGTGATAATATGGATAATATGGAATGTACCGAATGTATCCTTAGATGCGCGCACACTGGCGCACACGGGGCAATTCAGGCCACACGTGGACATGTCTCGTACAAATCGTATCGAATAGCGGGTTTTCGATCGAATGTCGAGGCGAAATTTTTGCGTTAAAATGCATCGAATGTCAGATTTATCAAATTTCGATGCCATCGAATGTCGGGGGTCCACTGTAGATTAAATAAAATATTTGTTTATGAATGAATAGTATGAATGGGTAGTAGGTTGGTAGACAGCAACCACCCAGGGAGGTACTACTGCCCTGCCAAGTGAGTGTAAAATGAAAGCCTGTAATTGTATTACATGATAGTAGGATTGCTGGTGTCTTTTTTTCTGTCTCATAAACATGCAACATTTCAGGTACGTTTTGTTACTTCTACTTACACTTAGGTCACACTACACATGCATGTACCAGCATATATATACACACACCCCTCTGGGTTTTCTTCTGTTTACTTACTAGTTCTTGTTCTTGTTTATTTCCTCTTATCTCCCTGGGGAAGTGGAACAGAATTCTTCCTCTGTAAGCTGTGTTATAAGAGGCAACTAAAATGCTGGGAGTAAGGGGCTAGTAACTGTCTCCTGTATATATTAATAAATGTAAATTAGAAACTTTCATTTTTCCTTTTGTGCCACCCCGCCTCGGTGGGATATGGCCGGTGTGTTGATAGGTAGATTATAGATATATAATTATTAAGTAGATTAAATAAAATATTTGTTTATAAATGAATAGTATGAATGGGTAGTAGGTTGATAGACAGCAACCACCCAGGGAGGTAATACTGTCCTGCCAAGTGAGTGTAAAACGAAAGCCTGTAATTGTATTACATGATGGTAGGATTGCTGGTGTCTTTTCTGTCTCATAAACATGCAAAATTTCAGGTATGTCTTGTTACTTCTACTTACACTTAAAGCATACTGCACATACATGTTTTTTTTTTTTTTTTTTTTTTTTTTTTTTTCCCAACAAGTCGGCCGTCTCCCACCGAGGCAGGGTGACCCAAAAAAAAAAAAAAGAAAATCCCCCAAAAAAAAATACT